GTTGCGTCAGGTCCTGCAGCTGCGTCACATCCACCGCCGGCCAACGATCGCGTTGTTTCCTGACCTGAAAGGAGCTTTCGACTCAGTTGACCGTGAAGCTTTGATGGACTTCCTTCTTCAAAAAGGAATGCCCCAGAATTACGCTAACTTACTGAGATCATTGTACTCACATACCTCTAGCGAGTTCATTATCGGTCCGCTGTTTATGATTGATCCTTAGTCTCATACACCTAATGAGACAAGCGGAACTTGGGCGGGACAGCACCTTATTGGCTGGAGGCTGTCCAGCCTGGGCGGATGGCAGCTATCCAATGGAATGTGGAGACTTCTCCCACCGTCAGGAGGGAATCCCAGGTACTCCGCTCTTACGTCTATCTGGCGGGAATTTTACCGGTAGACTGTCCTCCGGTGTTTTGCTGGAGTGACCTCTCCGGGGCGATCGTGGATAGGCAAAGGAACCCAGGATGTGCCCAATCAGCTGGAATTGTGAGACTGAGCTTTGTCTGGCCTCTACCTATTGACCTTTTAGGCATGATTGGATCTGCGGCTGTGAGGAGCCATGTTGTGTAGCTCTCTAGGTCATGGAGGCACGGAAGCCATCACGCCATGTCATGGTGCAGTCTTATCGTGATGGCCGAGAAACAACGACGGTTTGGTTGCATCAGGTCGTATGGGCGTCTGTTTGTTTCGTTGTTCAAATGTCGATATTATGGATTGACACCGTTGGCGTGCGTTGCGCAGAACTCTAAGTCCCCGGCGGATATGATTTGTGTACAGCTAACCAAACAAAACCCTGGAGAGTATTAGGGTGACTGATTGTTTTTGCAGATTCCATAATCAATGCATTGGTTAAAAACCACTCACTCCAGCTGAATTGGAATCCGCAGATTTTAGTCTGTCACACGGTTGCCCAGGTTGTATGCAAAATGTTGATCTGTTTCCATTGAATTAGTTATCCATCTCCATTGGTCCAGGTCTTCTAATAGTAGCGTTTTGTACTATCGGTATGACATCAGTTTCAGTTTTTACTACCATTAACCATGCACTTTCGTGCCCCGGTTTTGGTTGCTGTCTTATGGTTGCCCATTTGGATAAAAGAGCGAGATGAAGATTGGAATGTCGAAGCAAATTCAAGCAGAAGATGGGGAATGCATATAGAGTGGTGTTAGAAAAGTAACGAGTGGATACACGAGCGCCACTGTTTGCGACACCCAGCCATATCACTCAGTGTAGCTAATCATCGGTGACCCCGAGGTCCTCAGCCAGGGAGCCTAACGGGGTCTATGTGACCTAGACTCCTGGTTAGGGTTTTCATATCCTTGTGCCAGGTCTTAGCTTTGCCGCCCTTCGTTTTTTTCTAATCGCTACCAGCCTTGACAAACATCGTTCGCCGTGGCAACCTATCTGGTGACATGCGTAGCACATGCCCCAACCAACGTAATCTTTGGAGGTCGACCACTTGCTCCAGTGGACGACCGCGACTGCCTAAAACTGTACGCCTAACCTCAGCATTGCTAGTCCGGTTACCCCACCAGACACGTGCAACGCTACGTAAACAGCGGTGTTAGAACACCGACAATCTATTTTTATCGTGTTCCTTTAGTGGCCAAGTCTCTGCACCATAGAGCAGGACTGGCCGAACTACTGCAGCATACACTCGACCCTTCATAGACAGCCGGATTTCGCGACGGCGCCACAAATATGACAAGTATGACATACTCTTTATTCACTACGATTGGCTTATCGGGTTCATAATTAACCATAATTTTTTTTAAAATGAAAATTTGGTATACGAGACGTTCACGGCTTTTTTACTTCGAGGGTGCATCTGTAGTCTTTACCCAGCTAACTATGAACTGTTCGTTCGTGGTTTCCGGCGACCCACTCAGAGTTCATTTACCATTCGACTGGTATGTATTCAGTCCAATGATCCATGCTCTCTTGTTAGTTTGGCAGATTTCTTGTCTAGCCGTTGGATCAGGCAATAGAGCTCATCCATCAATTGAGGAACGTCTGTCTTCGCATGTTTTGCACCGTCTAATCGAGGTTTTACGCATCGTTTACCATCAACTGAGTTTAGCTCACCTGTCCAGTGATTGACCGGAGTGTCGCCGCTATTTTATCTCAGCGTCTTGGAGCCAAATGTGAGCTGGCCAAATGATGGATACCAAATAGGTGGATGATATCAAAGAGACATGACAGTCTGCCAGCTGAGATACTGTTCCTAAGTTGAGCTGCGACCGATTCTAACGAACTTACACGCGGACAATATAAACGATTGTGAATAACAGGCAGTTGCAAGATTAAATACTAATCTATGACAGTTCCATTTGTTCTGAATGATTACTCTCTACGATTAGTATTGTCTTCGTTTATCAATCTGTTACCTAAGATGATCGTAAACTCCTGCCTAACGATGACTCACTAGGACCTATCAATATAGAACACCCCAGTTGAGGCACAATGGTACCGGTCGTCACTTCGTTCAATTTGTTTTTAACACCGTACACTTCATTTGGACGCCCCAATAAAAGTTGCATCAGGCAGACGTACTTTGCCACTAACCGTTGTTTTCGTGTGATGTCACCTTTGCAGTTGGTTGTATTGCAATCGATATCTTCACACGAATGCGCTACTTGTCCCAGTTCGTAATATTCTGCTGGTACAGCTTCACACAAACCGTCTCTGATCGCCATCCAATACGGGATTAGTGTGCATGCATGTGCTCTGTTTGACTGGCGGATTCCATTGAGGTCTCCTATGCATATCGTCGTCTTTATAAATCACAATTTTGACTGAAGCTGCCTGGTTGTTTGGATGTGCGTCTAGTGTTTACTGGTTAAAAAGTGCGTGGGACTGCCTAAGTCGTTTTCACTCATGATGCCAGTTTTGCATATTCAAATTTTTACCGTGGTTCATGAGAGAACCGTCAGCTGATGCACTCGGAAAATCCGTGTTACTAGAAAATTTGTCAACAGATGACGTTAAAACGAATGAGGATAACAGTTTCGGTAAAAACGCACAACCTCGCAACCCTCTTTTGTTGTTGCATGTGTGATGTGTTCACTGAAGACCAGTTCAAGGCAGCGGTGAATAAAACGATCTATCCGTACGGTATAGGTTATGGAAATGTTACACTTTCATTTGGATCGTTAAGGGAAAAATGTAAGTCTCAGGTTTCACAAGTACATGAAACGGTTCCATTTGACTAACAGTACAACATCCGAAAAACCTCATAAGGTCCGCAAAAGTTTGTCTCCATTTCGAGCGTGCTATTCCAACATGGATATTTCACTTTCGTCTTTTCTGTCTCCATGCCCGGGAGGAGCAAAACTATCGTCCATGCTNTGCTGTTTACGGCTTACTCGTTACGGGTATTTTATGCGCCTGATTTGTGTCAGAGGGAACCGGTGTTCCCAGCGTCGTATGATTGCAGCTAGTTCAACACAGAAGAAGCATGCCAGCAACGGAATTTAGGAATTCCTCTTGAATAATAGTCATAAAATTGTGCTCAGTTCATCGAGTCGTAAACCCTGCGGCCAGAAAAAATTCAGTCAACATTCCTCGTATATCCCCCGAAATCAGCATTCGAATTTAGACAGTGTACGACCATAACCGTATTATTTATCTCACTTCATCGACCATCAAAGTGATTCTGTTGGTTGATCCTTCCTTCTGTATAGATTATTCCATTTTGCACCTCGTTCCGTTTGTTTAGTAAACTTTTTAAAATCAGTTCACCCGAATACAAATGGAATTGGAACATGTAGTTGAACAGTCGAAGTGGAGCCGTATTGCATCATCCACGTTTAACAGTCACAATCAAACGCAATTATGTAACGCCAGACTTGTAAATTATTTCTTTTTCAAATATTTCTCTGTGTTTATGTACCTCTCTGGTTTATGACGCAAGCACCGCCAAGTGTATTCGATTCATGTGTCTGATATTCATCTGCAGGGAGCGTGTTTGAAATGTGCAACCTATCAAAGTTCAGCATTGTTTTTATTGTCCTCAGACGGCTCTGATGGCTGCATTCGTCTTTCGATGAGCCTGGATGCACTTGAACCTCTGACCATGTACTTTAGGCATTCACCGATTGTTGTTCTCCATATGAAAACCATGCAGTTTGAATCCGAGCAACTATGCTGTTTGTACACACACTCGCCCAAATGATTTGTGACGGCTAATCTACTAGCTGCTTAAAAGTAGGACATAAACTTGAGCAGCATTTCTTTCAACCGTAATTATTAGCTTTGATATCTGCTTACTCGTGTTGACCTCGATCCATCACGCGTACTGAGTTGGCCCTCAGTTAGTTATGTATGGCTTCAGTTCGCTTACTGTTGTCTCCCCCCCCCCCCGAATGTATCCGTATTTTTATCTCTTGGAAGAGCCGAGTACCCCAAACTCAGTCCGGTTTTGGACGATGTGATTTCGTCCACTCGTCACCTTGTGACAGCCAAAAATGGTCTGCGGACTGCTGAAGTTTTCTATAGTAGTGCTGTTTTTATTGACACCTTCCAATGAGCCTGATCTGATAGAGCATATGGGTCCGTCATAAGCTGTCCTATGCCTAGTCATAAAGCATTTGAATGACAAATCAAATGACATTCAAAACCTCCCTCCGGTGAATTGTTGATTGAATCTTATTTCTGAAGCTTGGTCTTCACTGCTCGTTCCAGCCTACAAACCGTAGATCATCTATTTTGTTACTGTTGCGATCGTTCTTTCCAACTCGGTACCACAGGCTTTGCATTTTAAACGTTGCGAACAGTTGCCCAAAAAATCTACTGTCTGATCATTTGCCACTAGCATAGATTTTGCAATACAAAATGCTTGCACCTTTTGTTCAAATAATTATCTACAGAAGGCAATAATCTGTAATGAATACGACTAAAAACTCTCGATGTTTCCGATTTTTCTTTTTTCCTCCCCGTTTAATAATGACCTTAGATGTGTAGATGAGTTGGACAACTTTCTTCATACCAGTCTCGAACAGATGAATCTTTTGTTGCGTGTATTCCGCGAACCGGTTGTCACTGTGTCCAGCCTCGATCAAACCGGAGAAGACAATGCTCATTTGATTTTTGGTAGTATTCTTGATCTGTATAACAATATGCGCATTTTCTTGGATACCGTTGATGCTGAGGAAGAGGATTCCTATGTAACTAGCGTGGCAAAAACTTCGTTCTCATCTGCCAGCACCACATCCACCGCCAGTACACATACGGATAGTGCTACCATTAGTGGCACAAGCTCAGATATGAGCTCTGGACACCATCCTTCTGGTGTCTCGCTTGATCCTTCCTCTCCGACAATCACTTCTTCGAATGAGGCGGAAAACACTACCAAGTCTTCAACCGATACTCCGGACAGGTCACCAAGCCACATGAAAGCTTTCAACACCGTTTCTCAGTCCATTCGTGTGCCTGGTGGAGTTCAACGACATCGACTGGTTGGAGTGTGTCTACTGGAATTGGCCGAGGATGACTCACTTCATGCGTTTAGTCAGTATGCCACTACTGTGCTGGACTCACTCAGTCGAGATCGCGCCTGGGCTCTTTGCGAGACAGAGAGTTTCGTAGGCATGTTGTGTCGTCTTAGTCGAACGATTTTGCACACGACTTTGTTGAACAAGGTAAGTTTCTGGGGCTGGAATAACAACCAGCTGCTACGCATGTCTCAAGTCAAATCACTAACATCCATGAGTAGTGATCTAGTGGACAATGTACTACCTGGGCTTTCCCGCATGGCACGAAAATAGGAAATGACTTGTTCTCAGGCTTCCAGTCGCTAAACTTCATTAAATATTCCATTGTCCTACGATGCGTTTACGATGCAGTTGAAACGGTGAAATCCGTCGTCACTAGAGAAAAGTTGTGAAAACAGACAACTCAATACAGTTCTATTAAGGCAAATGAAATGTGCTGTTTGACAGCAAAACTGTTATTGCAGGACAAGACACGGGTTGCATTTTTCACTCCGTGTCATGTAGTGGGGATCGTCAAAGAAACACATTGTCCTGTTTGTGCTCGTCTTTGACTATACTTTGTTGACCAACTATTTTACTGCTAATGATTTTCTATGCGTTTATAGTTCTTAAGGATATTTGTGTTATCACGAACAATCGGCACATCTTGCTGATGTGTATGATGATTCGATTGACGAATCGGGCTAACTCCCTGTCAGATCACGATTCAGTTTCCGAGCTTGAAATGTATCCTTTCCCTCATCACTCTTTTGATTGATTTCGCTTGCTTTCAGCTAACCGGGGTTTTGCGACAATCTAGGGTTGCTTGTGATTTTCGGGGGCTACCACCCCTTTTATTTTTATCCCCATGCGCACCTGTGCCGCGCGGCCGTGGGCATTGGTTTCCAGTCTACAGACCGCACACACTCAGTTCCGCTCCGGCTGATCAGATTTAATATGGCGAACACAGACCGCAGCCGCAGCCAGCGTGTGCGTGCGTGCCCGTGTGTCCGTATGCGTAGCTGGGCTTTGGTGTTGCAGTACAATTTTTGGGTATTAGTGTTGGTGCGTCGACACGTGCGAACGGGCCTACAATCGGACCGAACTGGTGTTGGTGTGCACGTGTATGTAGTTGTAGTTGTGTCAACGACTGGTCTTGAATCGTCTGTGGGCGCGATTCTGGGTCCTGTCTTGATCGTCAGATAATCGCACCGGTGTGACGTCATTACCAAATCACGTGTTTCTTTGTACGTGTCTACCTATTAGAACGTCACTTGACAAGGCACCTATTAAGGGCTGTGGTTCGTCTTACACGACATCGTGACCTGGTGTATTTTTGTTTTCAGTTTGTCGCGCCTTATCTTGCTTCGTGAGGTGACAGTCATTGATGTTGCTTGCACATGTTGTCCCGCTTACCACACCATAATATTGCCGCCATTCAAGACTTGTCACCTGATCCACTGCATTTTACTATGATCTTGTCCATCTTATTAGGTTAAAGTATGGGGCCGTCATGTGCTATCTATTTCCTTTTTCGGTAGGAAGTCGCATGCTTCAATCTATCTCCAGTTACTGTTGAACGTTTCCGGATGGGAAGACATCCATAATGTAGTCCATACTCCCGACGGTGGAATTCCGGAATGTGCATTTTGAAACCACCGAGTTGTATCATTACCATGAACTACTGCAATCCGTCAGTGCCAACCCTTCACCGTGACTACTTGTAGCTGTCAGTGCACGGGACTAGGAACTGAAAGTACAGTGAAATGAAGTGGTGTAATAGCGAAAATGAGTTTTTAGTTTTAGTTTATGCGTTTCTCCATTGTGTGGCAGTCTTGGTCACTCGTGTTAATAACCTAATTGATCATTCGGTGAGCTAAAAAGTAAGCGAAATGCCCGGTTTTGTCAAGACAACCGTATAAATTGCACTCTGCGACAGAAGTTTCTTATATTACACCCTAGGTTCTTGCAATATCTGCACTTTTGCTTGAAGCATAATACCCAACTTGGAGCGTCAATTCGGTGGTCACGTAAAACATCTGATTACACAACCTCTACTTCTTTACTTGCAGGAAAAGGAAAATATAATCGGAAATGTAAAGTGATGCTGCAACCAAACTATCTTATTCCGTAGCGTTTAATCCAAATGAAACAAGTTAGTTTTGGGTAGTGTAGAAGGTGCGCTTTAGAGCCGAAATACACCTTTTGGACATACACTCTACGAGATACCGGAACACATTGTCAGCAGACAGCCATTCTCGTTTCTGGATAGCTTTTATCTCATCCTTCGTATATTTTCACATTACGATACAGCCTTCAGGTCCATGCACCTCAAATGTTGATCACCACTTCTCTTTTATACCGTTACCAGCTTCAGATCACACGTGAGGTACGAACAGCGGCATTGTTCTGCTGGAATAAGGTCTCTATCATTAACGGCGGTAAATAGTGTTCCAGGGAGAGCAAGTCCACAAATTGGAACCCTAAACGCCTCGAAGGAAGGCGAAATCGTTCAGTCTAAAATGCGCTCTATACGATTAGTGGAATTGCTATTGATCCGTCGAACGTAATACTGTTTTTCTTCAGTCATACACTTTGAACATAAGCATAATTCATCGATTTGAATCGCAAATGCTTATCCCCCGCAAGATAAACGTTCATCGGGGCTTATCATTGATTTTTTTGTCCACCTACTTTGGGCAATATCTGCGTCGCAACACTGTAGACCTTGATTGGTTTCGTCGTTTGGCCATATCGTTTATGTTGTACTGCAGTTAATAACACGCTTCTATTCGCATTCACTCAATGTCAGCTACCTGGGTCCTACTGTTTTCGAGGTCACTGTACACTTACGATCAATATATGGTTAGAATTCAAAGGTGTACATTTCCTTACGTTAGTCTTTTGTCACATTGGTCAGCTCCAAGGTAAGGTCGGATGCAGAAAGGTCGTCCCGGGTATGATTGCCCATCGATAAAGGATTAATGCGGAATCCAGCATTTGTATTTAGGTTCCAAGGCGAAACTTGCGCTCAACGCAGTACCAACTTGCGTCATTTGAATTGAATACCAAAGGACACAGCATCCGTGTGAATGATCAGGTGTGTTCTGCAGCACTTCGGTCAGTTCTGCTGCATGGCGCAGCGACTTGGCCGTTACGAAGCAGGATAAAGATAGACTATTGGTGTTCAAACACCACTGTCTACATCACGTTGCATGAGTATGGTAGCCAAACCGGACAAGCAATGCGAAAGTTAGGCGCAAAGTAATCGACCTCGATGGATTACGCTGATTGGGACATGTGTTAGGTGTGCCATTAAATGGATCACTACAGTGTATGGTGTTGAGCGGGGCAGGTATTGGATGAGAAAAGAGAACGTCAGTCGGATTAAAACCTGGTACGATGGCACGAAAACCCTGGCGATGGGACTTTCTTGCATAAGCCTCGTTAAGCTTCCTTGAAGGGGACCTCAGGATCAGCTTAACGGATGGTTGGGGACTCTGAGTCATATGGCTACACTAAACTGCGGTGCTTGAGCATCTACAGGTCTAATCAAAACTAAAGCAACGGGTTCTGTGAAACCTTAATCAACCGGATTTCTCTTTTTTCTCCTTGCCGTTGCTCTAAACATTATAATTTCCACTCGATTCTTTTTTCCAAGTTAGTAGCCAAAATACAGCAGCCGAAACCGGTGCACTAAAGTACCTGTCAGTAGCCTCTTATGTAATGGACGCTTATTATCTCGGTGGTTTATTTACTCTAGAGACGGTCCCAGTATGCTGCCTAACTTTTTCTTTCAAACTTCTTGTGATGAACAGCCGACCGGGTAAATCCCATAGTCACCAGGACCTGCTGTTCATTGATAGAAACCGGTAATCTAAGCCCCGGGACTTGTAGTGGCAGATCACATAAATCCCCAATAGGTTAGACGTGGTATAGTACCCGGACGACAGCAAAGCTGTTTTAAGTCAGTTGATTATCGTTTATTAATTTGATTTCACACAATATTCATAAGTTGCATCTTTTTGTAATTATCTATCTATTATCTAATCAGAGAGGAAGCAGAGGGGAAACAATGAAAATTGAAAAGCTTTCGACACACTAAGTTATATGCATTATATCCTTCGTCGGTTAATGCACATATGAGATTTGAAGCAACGCTGACGTAGCAGAGTTAGTAAGAAATGTTTTATTTTGTAATCTCTATTTTGGTTTATCTGATCGCACTCTCCGTCAGATGCACAGCTCCGGAATCGGACTTTGCTACGCAAGTGCTTTGGATCTTCGTCTAACAGACGTGCATTCAATCACCTGTAGACGATGCCGGTTTTGGGATTCAGTGATGAACGCCCCTCGACGTCGTTCGACTTCTTCACATGCCGTTCGTCTGGCGAACGGTTCTAGTTCCTCTCCGGGTACGGCGGCTTTCCTCGCGGTGAAAAATCCTGGGCATCGTGCACACCGATCATCACATTCTTCATCCGTTTGCGACGTGCCTACTGGAGCTGCCGAATGCAACTTCCTGGTTAATGCTTTCAAATACCTGTTACCTCGTCTATTACTTCTTCCAATTTTTCAATTTTTCTATCTCCATGAGTTAATCGAAGTGAGTTATTCGCCCCGTGTAACCTCATTCAATCTTTTCGTCATCTACCTG